AGAGGCACCCAATCATGGCCGGCAATAGAAGCTTTTCAGGCTCAATGTTGCCCAGGTGGTCGAAGTGAGGCTCGATGCGCTTCCTATAGTAGAGGAAGAACGGAGGGATTATCAAAAGGACACCGACGATCAGGCCCAGAAGAGTGATGCTGCGAGTTCCCAGGTCGAAGTGGTAGACCTCTTCATAGGCCATGGGAAGTGCCTCGAACCAGATGTACATCAGGCCGTAGATGAAGGAACTGTACAGCGTGAGGAGGAAGACAACCGGCTCGGTCATGGCCATCGTAAACGGCCTGATTAGATGAGTCAAAAACACCTCTCTCCCCGTCGTGTCTTCCCACTTGATTTGGGCGTCGCAGATGTAACGTCGATCACCAGTTGCCCTGCGTAGTCGAAGAGTACGTCGGTACAGGATGTTGTCGGCGCTGGTTTCCGGGAGGAAGAAGAGCATCACGACGAGTGTTGTCGTCCCCATCCAGGCGGTAATCCAAGCCGTCCACTTCCAGCCCATGGCTTCGACAGCAAACCCACCGATGATCGGGCCAATTGTCGGGCCCCCGATGCCAATGAGAGCCCACATTGCCATGGCGTAGGTCTGCTTTCGCGCTGCGTACAAATCCATCAGGATTCCGCCCCCCGAACCCAGAACTGGAGAACCGAAGAAACCGGCAATGAACCGGAAGGACAGCAGCATGCCGATGTTGGTAGCCAGAGCTATCGGTATTTGAGCCACAATGAACATGATGAGTGCAAAGACGTAAATGGGGTTTCTCCCGAGTTGGGGCATCTCTTCCAGCGGGCTCCAAACCATCTGCGCCTAAATGAGATAACGATGTCTTAATGGTGTGGAACTCAACTCACTGGCCCGATACCGTATCCAAGAACAAACATGGTCAGTCCAAGAAGGGCAACATCTTCGCTGACTCCAAATTGCTCCCTCACGCCGGCGATCCCGACCGTATAGATGGACGCACCGGCATATGTGCAGGCAATGAGTAGGCAAACCTGAAAGCTGACGATGGTTTTCTTGAGACCGGTCCAGTTCCTCGGATCCTGATTTCACGTCAGTGGAAAACAGCAGAGATCAAGTTGATTGGATTGTACCTCTGGATCGTCTGGAAGAAACTGGACTAGGTGAAAATTTCTGTTGGCGATAGGCGAGTTGGAAGAATACTTCTCCAAGTTCGAGATCTCCAGAGTCTCATTCGACCAGTGGCTATGCGGTAATCTTGGTTCGTCAAAAGAGCGCCCGCGTGTATAGGGATCTCTAGTCGCGTTCCTCGCCCTGTTCTCCGATGCGTTGCGTTTCAGAGCCGGACCTCTGCTCGCGTATGACCCCATCGCCTCCGTCGTCTCTTGCGGCCCATTTCTTCGAGCGCTGTCATTCACATACCTCTGTCTAAGCAAAGGATGTCGTTCATCGAAATATTGAAACTCGGGCAGCGTGCCACCCGTCACCAAACGAATGGTCTGCCACGCAAGCGTATCTCGCACGTAATCGAAAAATGGCATTTTATCGCGTTCGCTGTGCCCCAAGTGATGCGGGAGAGACTATCCGGCAGGAATCTCTACGGACGGGTGCTATCTTACTTCTACTCTGCTTCTCTACCTAATGCACGTCCGGCCCGGGCCTTCGCCAAAGTTCACCCGCATAGACGACCGTCATCGTCCGAAGCCAGTCACAGCACACGGTTAACAGACGATGCTGCGCGGGGGGCCGACATCGAGCGCCATGATCTTGCGGGGGAGGGCACATATGATCAGACGGTGTCTCTGCCCCAGGCACTCTCACCGGGGCCTCACGAATACGTGTGGCTCAACATCATAGCGGTGCAAGAACCTTTAAGACATGCCCAAGGTAGAAGAATGGTTCGAAGCTCCAGCGGCGTCCCCCATTCAAGTTTCCTAAGGCTATGACTCGGTGCGGGGCCGTGTGTCTCCGAGACTTTCTCGTGTCAAAACTTGGTCTTGCATTGCTTCCCGAAGACTGGTTGACTTGTGAAACTGACGTCAGGATCGATTGGATGAAGGTTTCGATGGGTTGTTTGGAAGCGCGAGATATGCCTGATGGAGATAAGCTACCGATGGAGGATTTAAGCAGCCGGCATGCATCCACTTGACATGGAGCTTAACTCAAACCCTAAATGTAAGTGAAAGCGATTATCCCTACTCCTCCGCCGTCCAGAAGGCTTGCTTCCATGGAAGGAATAGTTGAGCAAGGTTGGCAATCGACGGGTTTGTCAAGATCTGGGCTCTGCCAGCCTGCATCGAGAAGCAAACACAATTACTTTGGCCGATAAACTCATTCCGAGACTCCCTTTTCAGCTTACATACCTACGGTGTGCTCTTGTAAGGGGTGCCAGACCGACGGTATCCCACCCGGCAGTCACCCTCCCGCGATTCCAAATCGTGATGTTCTTGCTTCTTTCTTCATTGAGCCGCAAGTCCGTGGGCAACTCGTAGTGCTGCATGCGAAATACCTCGATGTCAACTTCAAGTAACGCCTTTTTGGAAGAGACAGCGCCAAGAAATGAATGGCCTAGACTCTTGAAGACTTCCATCAGAAGGTTGAGGTATCAGAGTCTGGTTTGAGAGTGCGATCGTCGGATGTCGCAGTGACATAACCTTCGTTCAGCTCCAGATAGCCGTGTGGTACAGGTTCAAGTCCGCTTCTAAAGAGACGTTTCATCGTGTGCAAGATGCCGAAGAGTGTAGCATAAAAGTATGCAAAGAGCAAGATTGATGTAGTGAACTTGACGCGTCTGCGTGGTTTCGGGCATGACCTCAAAGGAAGATCAGGCGGAAGGGGATACCGGAGTAACAAGAGAGTTTGGCGAAGAGACAGTGCACACAAGACCAGCTGGTACAAATAAATCCCGGGTCACAGTCTTGGACTTGATCGTTCGTTCCTTCTCAAAATATCAGGCAGTGATTACTCTTACGTTGCGTGCCTCCAGAATCCAGAACCATCAAGCCAGGTTCTAAGTTTCCTCATCATTCATCTTGGTCCGAGTGGCCTTTGTTAGTACACTTGACGTTGTGTTCAAGCATGTCTTTTGAATAGACTTCCCTAGCTGAAGAACAATCCTTAAGAAGAAGAAATCATAGGCATACCGAAATGTGTTAGAAAAAAGGGTGCGCTGGAAGACTTTGTGAGAACGATGCTGGTACCACGGGAAATCCAACACAGAGCCGCTTCTGCTCTGGTGGTTTGGTTAGGTAGCCTTTGCGTCCAGGACAGAGGATTTTTCCTCTCAGTTATTAAATACACATGAGCCGCCGGGATGTAGCCATACTCATTCGGACGTAGTGGCCGCGTATCTCGGTCGGGTCTTGCTCGTGATATCCCAACAGGGAGACCTGGGGAGTCGTAGAAGTTGGTTTTGGTGTCTCGAGAGACGAGGAAGTAAAGAAGTTTGGAAAGAAGATGCTGAGGAAATGTTCGGCGTAGAAATATTTTGGCAAGTCTTGATGTGGTCCTCCTCCTGCCCGATAGTGGCAAATGGTCGAACGAAACCAACGCCAGCCTGGCTGCACGAGGATCGCGAGATGAATCCAAAAGGCTAGATGCTTTCATCGAAGCACCGCCAAAAGCCGCTTCCGCTCGGCTATGTCTCTGATGTAAGTGATTTCGTAAACACTTCGAGTTGCTCATTTGTTGCCTAATCTGTCCACTTTAAGATGTTGGGTGCGAGTTTGCGGGACTATAGGACAAGATACAATAAGTCCGGAAAGCGGCGGCGAGACACGACTGGAAATTGAAGCCTAGCCGTGCTCGGACAAGAAAAGGCAAAAATGGTGGTTGATCAGGACAGTAGCGTCGCATCTGCGGCGGCAAAATCATGTTGAGAGTGACTGTAAGACCTCGGGGTCTAGGAGCAAGATCTTCTTGATCTCAAGTGCTCCAAATATTCTTCTTTGCTGCTCGTTTCGTGGCCGCATCTTCCGCAAAAGTATGTCTGCAGAGTAGCAGCTCGTGTATATGCTCTTTTTCGCTGAAGATGGCGCGAGTGGTTGTCTTGCCGAAAGTCGCTCTTCCCGCAGAAGCCATACCGATACTTTTGGATCTTAGAAATCCTAGCGATCCTAGGGTCATTTTCATGGGAAGGACCATAGTGCCGGACCTCAAGGTCTCGTTGTGAATACCACACGCCCTTGCAGTCCAGCTTGCAGTGATAAGTGCGAGACTGAGGCTCGCGCTCAACATGATTGAGAGCCAAAGATTCTTGGGGCTCAGCTGGCTTTGAAAGAGACGACGTGAGTGGTGTGGCTGGGGCAGGCGAAGTAACAGTAGCTTTGAATGAAGAATTGTGAGAAGGAGGCAACGAAGAAGATTGGTTTTTGCGGTTTTTTTGATGTTGGGATGGATGATCTTGCTTGGAAATGGCGGGGTTTTCACCATCATTCTCCGTGAGTGTATGTTTAGTATTGAGAGTGGCATCGTCCTTCAGATTTGAACCCGAGGACTGTGAGGCAGAGCGGTTGAGGTTCCTTGGGTCAACACATCGTTGATTCTAGTCTCCAGGATACCGGCGGAAGCTGGGGTTTTCGAGGCAGTCTATGTGGACATATGCTCCGACAGGGTGTTCCCAGTCCGCTTCTACACTTGACGAGTTGCTGTGTCGACGAATGATGTGGTCTTCGAGGTTGTTGCATCTGAGCGCTGAGGATAAAACCTCGCTTTCCTGGGCGCAGCTAGGCTGACTTTGCGCTAAGCGTTGACCATCATAGTTGTTCCGAATTTAAGCAATCGCGGGACATACGTCCCGCGAGCGCTGACGTGTACGTTGCGGTCTTTGGGTGGTAAAAGGCAGGTGGAGAAAGAGTGCATGAGTATTGATGAATTGTTGACTCCTCAGAAACGGAATCAAGGGGGGGGCTGTTTACAGGAGTCAAGTGCTTTATAGAGCTCATGGGGGTCACCGACGTCCTTAAAGAAACGGCCCAACCGCCAAGGCAGATTTAGCGCGGCATCTCAATTGGCAGGTGTGCCTCTTTATTCACTTCTCCTGATCAAAGTCGTAGCTGTTTCCGAATCCCCTATGCAGGTAAGACCTCAAAACCTCATCATTCTTCGCCCAGTCAACGGGAATCTCCAAGTAAGGATCCAACCCAGCCAGCAAGCCCTTGACATTCTCTCCCAATTGCAACCTCATGGGATTCCGATACCACGGTGCAAAGTGAATCATCGCAAGCATCACCCTGACCTCGCCACTCATATTCGGCATTCCAGCATGCCAAAGCCTCAGGTCCCTCAACACAATGCTACCCTTCTTGACATCGGGCTGCGATGGTCCTCTCACATCACGCCTCTCAGCCAAAAGATCCTCTCTGATTCTTCCGCTGGCCCGTTCACCATGCTTTCCTTCCTGTGCTGAGACGTCAGCGGTATGCGTGCCGAGCCAGAGCTCTGTGGACCCATTCTCGGGAGTCATGGACACGAGTGGGATGTTGGTGACTAGCGCAAATGGGTGCGAGGGGTGATTAAAGTCGGCGTCGGAGTGTACGGGTTGACGTTGAGGTGAGGCGCTGGGAAGAGGTGGCATGGCGGAGTTGGCAGAGCAGAAGGTCCATTTGGGACGGGGGCCCAGAACATTTGATGTGATCTGCGTTGCGATGGGGTCTGTGACTTTATGAGTGTGTCTTCATGACCAAGGAAAAGAGCCATACTCGTGAAGATGGACTTATAAAAGTACTCAGCCACAAGCGGAGGGTCTTGTTGTAAGTTCCCCAGATTGTAGTTGAAAGGGCCCTTTTCGCCGAGGGACTGGAGGTATCTCGCATCCTTCACCATCTTCTCATTGAGGGCGTCCAGGTCCTTGTGAGGGACAACATCCTCGACAACAACAAGCCCATCAGCGTGTAAGTGCCGGACAGCAAGTTCAAGGTTTCGCGGCGCAAGGAGGCAGTTGCGCACTTCAGCCTCTGAGGGGCGGATGACAAACGGGTGAGTTGGTTGGGGTTCGCGTGTAAGTGACGCCAGGCCCCTGTGGCTGCAGCTGAGTGAGATAGCTGGGCGGTGACGGAGCAACAAGTGTGAAGTTTTTGAGAAAACTCTCATGTTGCCTTATTCAAGATGCATTATACTGAGACATGATGAGAATATTTGATGCTTGCCTCATGCATTTAAATACTCGGAGTAATGAGAGGTTCCATGAGGGCTACCCCAATGCCGAGCTCGGGTTTGGTCACCCCGCTCCCCCTCCAAACCCGAGCTCGGGTTATGCTTCCCCTCTATGTAAGCCTACCCATCTGATCCCCAGACTCACTAACGCTTCCCCATCCTCCGCAAATAGCTTATTAAACTGGTTGTAATTCGCTGTTTAGTTGCGAATCTGCGGGAGACGATCCACTCCATGCAAGTTGCAAGTCGGAGACTAGCCGTTGAACCGGCCACCCGATTGACCGCTTACACGCCATGAGTCTACGGATCACCTCTTGCTGGGAGGCTTCACTGCGGATGAATCTCGCGCCTAGCATTCATGTAAGTTTCACTTCGTCGGCAGCATTTTCCTTTCACCCACAGAACGCGATTGGCCCGAAGGCGTTAACGAGAACTGCAGGCATATTTGCCGTGAAGGCGATGCCACACAGATCTAGACCGCATGCTTCCAGGACTTCTTCTTTCGCATCCCCGATCTTATGGTCATGTTCAAGAAGCTGTCTCAGCTTCGCGACGTTTTGGGGTGTTGCTTGGCCGCACAATATAGCCACACAAACAAGTCGGTAATGTAGAGCAGATGCTTATTCAACCTCAGCCAGCAATCTTCATCATTGACGCCGCTTCGACCTACCATGACAGTCCCTGAGAGTCCATATTGATGGAAGTGAGAAACCAAGTCCTCGATCCTCCCTTGAAAATGGTCTGAAACGAGCCGGTAAGTCTGCAGACCAGCTACAGAGCATGTCAAAGAGAACAGTCCAGGTCTGCTCTGCGATGGTGCCTGAGAAGCACGCATTGATGATTCGGCCGAGAATGAGCGATACGGTATTCAGGTAGCTGTGATCAGTGTGATGTTGACCCGGCAACGGCATCTGGTCTAGATCAATCTTCAAAGGGCATCGCTGGAACAGACTGAAAGTGATGTCTTCACGGAGGTAGTTCCAGAACCCTGCAGTTCTCAGCCCAGACCCTAGATAGTCAATGAGAGGACTTCGATACGCTGCCAGTGAGTAGGCACCCCGAAGATGTCTGTTTGGATCAACTTCCTCTACGCGTGGTCAGCTTTAGGAATTTCGTCTCACACGGCTCAAGCGTACCGCTGAGAATCTCATACGAGCGAAGCAGACAAACAGAGGCAAGCGCTAGTCCTTGCGTGTTTACCTCATCATGCTCATCATCTTTTAGATCAATCAAGATACGAATGCAATGACCGTGGTAAAATTCAGCTGCTGCCTTAGCTGAAGGCGCAGTTGTCTGACTGATGTGCACCGCGGAAAGAGCCAAAATCGCAGCAAATGGCAATGAGTTCTCCAAGGCGATTTCGGGCAGTCTAGTCGCAAATGTGAGAGAGCTGTCACTGAGATCATACCACGGCGCAATGTCAGTGATGTAATGGTGAAAATAGCGCGCGACCGAAGGATTCAACAGGGCGTCTCGTGGCTTTGTTGGCGAAGGGAACGTTCCTAGGGCCGAGGGTGCTAAAAGGCTTGATTAGGCGCCAGTAACATTGGTTTGTTCTTCCTCCTACTCACTCGTGAGTCCACTCGTCTCATCACCTTCCGGGGTCTTGTTATGAAATTGTGAAGGAGCCGCGCTGCGGTCGCAGTATCGGTTTGCTTTGGCACATCGTTGGCAAATCGGAACCGCTTCGTCGCCTGGCCTTGTGTAAGACGGGCGCCAACAGTAAGGATTAATAGGCTTACACTTGATCTTTCGGACTCGACAGGTGTTGCTGATTACGAGGAGGCTGGTTAGCAACACTGCCAATGAATAATTACATGATGAGAGTCCGAACCATGCTATTCATATATCAGTTACATCCGTTCATCTTTCTGTCAACGTCAAGTAGGGCCGAATGTCTTACCTGCTTGATTGAAAATACGAGGCATCGTGGCCGTGTGATGACGATCAACTAGGAACCAAGGATCGAGCCGCGCTGGTAAGCGAGACCCGTGGTGCGTGGTGGAGGCTGCGATGAAGTCCGTCGGCGTTTACAAATGTGAAAGCGGACAAGAACTTCTCAACTTGCATCTGATAACAACGCATTTTTCTGTGCGGAGGGTCGGCACCATCAACCCGACCCCCAGGAAAACCTCCGGCAGCCGATGACCCCGCCATCCCGGAACAAGCGGGGGGTCTGACCGGGGCGCCGGCACTCGCATTTCCCTAAGCACTAACATCGCCAAGCCTCAAAGATCAGCTGCGGCTAAGTTTTCCTGACTCTATATGCGGAAATTTCAAGACACTTTAAATCCGAAGCGCACACTGCGGACTAGCAACATGCACGTAAATAGACGGTTCGAGGGATCCGAGGTGAACAGCCTCAAAGATTCCGAGTGACTTACATTGCCACTTTGGGAATATCAAGAAACGTTGCATTCAGGTTTTGTAATGATGAAAAAGGTTGTATACAAGATGATAAAAGATCCGATAAACGAGTTTGTTTTGTCTTCATCGAATCAACTCACACCAACACATCAATCTGATAATCAATCTCATCAACCCAATCAATAACTCAACACTATCCCCACCACCTTATAACTTTCAACCCCAAAACATCTTCAAAATGGTCATGTACACTCTCCTGAAGGCTACCGTCCTCGCCGCCGCCGCGACGGCCGCCAGCATCCCCGCCAGGAGCACTGCATCCTTCCGCCTCGCGGCCAACGTCACCGGCCTCGACCTCAACCCCTCCGTCCAGGGTCAAGAGCTCACTTACATCCCCAACGAGGTCTGCGTGGCCCCCATCTACTTCGCCGCCCCCGGCAGCGGCGCCACCTTCTACACCACCGACCAGAACGTCGGTGTCGTCAACTTTAACGGCGCCTCCTCCCCCGGCGCCGGCATGATTGTCACCCCCGGTGGCACTGCCACCGTGCCCAGCTCGAATGTAGTGAAGCTGCAGTGCTCGGCCAGCACCACCGGTGTCACCGTCGGCGCCACCGGACTCCAGTACGATGGCGGCGCTTGGATGGCGTGCCCCAGGGACGGCGCCATCGTCTTGAGCTTCAAGCAGGCTGGACAGAGAACGCTTGCTTCTTGCGCCGATGTCCAGCTTCTTCCCATCTTCTAAGACGTCGGTCTCATAGACTTTTTCATACATGGGTGCCAGAGAACAATCGACTGCATAGAGAGAACATAGGATCATAGAAAATCAGCAACACCACAGTTTGGGAAGGATTTAGGGGAGCATTTGCATAGTTATGGACTTTCCTTTGTTAGCATAGAATTCGCATATAGTCGCATTTACACCATAACAAAAGACCTTGGCCAGGTATACAACTTTTGGTTTTTCATCCTGGACTTGTGCTGCAACTTTTGCGTGCGTGTGCATGATCCCCGCAGCCCATGAACTGGACTCAACGGGTGCACTGGTCGACAAACTCCCCAATCTCTTTGTTGAACTTCTCAGGCTCCTCGTAAAATAGCCAGTGCCCAGACTCATAGACAGACTCCTTCGCCAGACCAGGCCTGTTCTTCTCCACCCTCCTCACCGTCTCAAGCATACCCTCCAACGGGAAGCACCCAGACCGCCGTCCCGCCATCACCAGCGTCGGAACGCTAATCATCTCAATCGCCTCGCGGTGGTCGTACCGCGTGTGGTCGGCCAGCAACCTCGCCAGCCACGTCTGGTCGCAAAGAGCGCTGATACCCGTAAAGAAGTCCTCGTCCTCCTTCCTCTTCTCCGCCGAGATGTCGTCCTTGGGATCAGGCTTGGCACGGTACCCCAAGCACCCGTCCACGAGATCGACATGAGCCGCCTTGGACTCGTTGATCCAGAACTTCTGCGCGCCCAGCATGCTCTTCTCGTCGTAACAGCCCGTGTGCGCCTTGCTCTCGTCCCACCCATCAAACTCCGACCGGTCCTGCAGCGGCGCCTGGTCGACAAAGACGAAGCCCGCAAAGTCGGCGCAGCCGAACAGCTCCACGTACGTCCAGAGCACCGCGGCGCCGATGGAGCAGCCGGCGGGCACGATCTTGACCTGGGGCGCGGCGCGGCGGAGGTGGGCCACGAGGTTGTGCAGGTCGGCCGCGAGACGGGCTACATGGTACCCGCCTTTTGTGCGGTCGGACTTGCCGTGGCCGCGCATGTCCGGCGCGACGACCCAGAGGCCGCGGTCGATGAGCGGCTTGAAGTTGCGGTAGAAGTAGTCGCTAGAGCCGCTGAAGCCGTGCATGAGGAGGACGCACTGCGTGGCGGAGGCGGCGCCGGCGTCGGTGAGCGAGAGGGAGGACTGAAAGGCGAGTTTGCAGCCGTCGTTAGCGCCGCAGTGGGCGTAGTGCATGCCTGTGTTTGCCATGATTTCTTACGCCGTGATGAGTGTGATGAGATGGTGGGATGTGTTTGAGAGAAAAGAGAGGTTTATGTAAAGGGGTTTGATTAACAGGGTGAGAGGACGTCATGGCGATGGCGGGGACGTTTTCTGTTGGTGGGGCCGCTGCGGGTTGCGGGGGCGGAGGGGGACGGCGGGCCGTTCTAGCGGCGCCGATCCGGAATGACGCCGGTGGCTCCGATGTTGGCTTACTTTCTATCAAAATGTAGTCAAATTCGTCTCAGAGCGACACGCTTCTACGGATGTTATTGGAACGTTATTTCTAGATTGCCACGCGAAAGAACGTATGGTAGAAATCACTCTGTTTTCTAACATCTCTCTATCTGAGACACAACCATGAAGCAGTCGAAACAAACGCTCAGTTTCCGTAGCTTTGGTTGAGCAACACCACAATATTTGTATTCTCATTCATTTTCTGCTCACTTTTTGGCCTCATGACAATTCATTCATACATAGTGCACCACCTACAGCAAACGCCAACCATGAGCACCGTAGACCTTGATGACTGTCACCCACCCAGGCCGCCTGACGACGCCACACTACCTTTATCATTCTGAAATTTTCCAATGCTCTCACCGTCCGCCCCTCTAGCCGGCGG